TAAGAAATCTTCATTTAACTAATAGATTTTATGACCAATGTCACCATCCAATCACCTCTATATATTTTCCATAAGAAAACTGGGAATCTACCCTGCTATCTGTACCAAATATCCAAGCGCTCTCAGCTCTTCATATATGATATAGGTACTAGAAAAATAATTGACTGAGTTCAGTGCCTGGTGTTCATATGTAATTCTACTATTTCTCATGTAATCTTAAGTTACATGTAACTTAACATATTCAAATTGTTTTCTCAACTATAAAATGGAAGTAATGTATCTAATGCTATTCCATGGATGTAGGAATGACTTTTATAAATGGACATTATCTGGACTAATGACTTTTAATTATGCCCAGCAAAACCATGTGCTATTGTGTCTTTGGACTTGCGCACCTGATCTTGTTTACTGGGAACCTCAATTTGGTACTCCACCAAAAAAGATAATGAATTAATGTGTGTATGCTTGAGAATTAACATACGAAATCACTGAAAGCAAGCACGCCCATCTCCACTGCACACAATGAAGACTGGGAAGGGACATAACCTTGGACAAATGAGATGTCTAGAAGTGGTCATTTTGAAAAGGTCAGATGATCTGTTGACATTAGGGTGGAACCAAGGTTGTACTTCCCAATTGAAATGTAGCAACCATTTTGACTGAAAATATGTGTGAGGCCTGACTCAGGGACAGAGTTCCAGCAGAGACTTTCATCAGCACAGTTCCAGAAGATAGAGGCTTCTAACACATACCTAGGGGAACAAGTTTCCTCCGAGTTTGTACCTACTCTTAAAAGCTAAGTTTAAGAGCTAGGCTTTTCATTCAAGTGAAAAAAATGTCAGCATAGTAATGTCACACATGAACATGAAAATAGAATTATATATAACATTTAAATCCTATGCTAGTGGAGAATAAGACTTCCATGATTAACAATTATTTAAGTCTTCATTACATAAATTTATGTTTAAACATGTCAATCCTTGGTTATACTGTAATAACTGCTTTGTTATTTTTCAGAAATCTCATATAATTTACATTTATTTATGCATGCATTTGGGACATGTGGCATGTGGGGGGTGCAGCACATATGTGAAGGTGAGAAGACAGCTGTTAGGAGTCAGTTCTTTCCTCTCACCATGTGGGTTCGTATAATGGGACTCAGACAGTATTGGTGGCTAGAGCCTTTATCAGCTGAGGCATCTTGGAGGCTCAGTTCTCAGAGTCTTAAATCTTTAGATTTAAAGAAGCTTATGTATATTTTACTGTAAATAAAAGTAAAGAAGCCTTACACATGATTTGTTGAAATTTTCTCCTTGTTCAGTTTAAAAATTTTAAGACAGATTCAATGCATACAAATTTATGAACTCTGAGAGTCAGAGTAAAACATCTATTTTTATTTCAAACTTTTCTTGACTGACATATTTGTTTATGATACCTTCCAGGTATGTGTGAAACAAAATACAGCCACATATTTAAAAATCCAGTCATGTAATATCTTCAACACAGCTTTTTTTCTGGCAGAAGCTATAGTGTCCCATGGATTTTCTGGTGGATGCAAATTATACAACAGTGACACAGTTCATTTTACTTGGTTTAACAGATGACCCAGTCCTTCGAGTCATCCTCTTCATCATCATCCTGTGCATCTACCTGGTGACCCTGTCTGGAAACCTCAGCACAATCCTGCTAATCAGAACCTCTCCTCAGCTCCAGCACCCCATGTACTTTTTTCTGAGCCACTTGGCTTCTACTGACATTGGCTACTCATCCTCTGTCACACCCAATATGTTAGTTAATTTCCTAGGGGAGAGAAAAAACATCTCCTACCTTGGCTGTGCTATCCAGCTTGGCTCAGCCGCTTTCTTTGGGACAGTTGAGTGCTACCTTCTGGCTGTCATGGCTTATGATCGCTTTGTGGCAATCTGTAGCCCACTGCTTTATTCAACCAAAATGTCCACACAAGTCTGTGTTCAGTTGCTCATAGGAGCTTACACAGGTGGTTTTCTTAATGCTTTCTCTTTTACCATTTCTTTTTTTAGTTTTCTCTTCCGTGGACCAAATAGAATCAATCATTTTTTCTGTGATTTTACTCCTTTAGTTGAACTCTCATGTTCTGATGACAGTGTCTCTATCATTCTTGACACTGTTTCTGTTGGCTTCGCCATTATGTTCACAGTGCTAGTCATAGCTGTCTCCTATATCTACATCCTCATCACCATCACGAAGATGCACTCCACTGGGGGCCGGCAGAAGGCCTTCTCTACCTGCACCTCCCACCTCACTGCAGTCACTCTGTTCTATGGGACCATCATGTTCATTTATGTGATGCCCAAATCCTGCTACTCCATTGACCAGAACAAGGTGGTGTCTGTTTTCTACATGGTGGTGATCCCAATGTTGAACCCACTCATCTATAGTTTGAAGAATAATGAAATTAAGGGAGCTCTGAAGAGAGAATTTGATAGAAAAAATAGTTTCTTAGATATGTCTGTTATTTTGTGGGTCTTTATTTAGTAGAGATTGCTCTCCAAGACAATAGACCTTCATCTTAAGTT